GTTTGTCTGTGTATGTGTTTGTCTGTGTGTGTGTGTCTCTGTGTGTGTGTATGTGTGTGTGTCTCTGTGTGTGTGTATGTGTGTGTGTGCTGTAGTTTGGACACTACACTGATCGACTTCACCGATATGAAGTGTCAGCGAGGAGACCTGAGCTTCATCTTCTGTGGAGACGCCGCTCCCTCCGAGTCCTTCGTGGTTCTGGACAACGAGCAGAAGGTTTATCAGAGGATTCATCACGAGGCACGTGCTCCTTCAGGACACACAGTCATATACACCTAGGATGGCTTTAGGGTGAGTAAATCATGGGGTCATTTTCATTTTTGGGTGAACTGTCCCTTTAAGGCCTTAACAACTCTGCAATCAGAGCAGAAAGTCTTAAATGTAGTGTCATAAATCCTGCAGAAACCCGATTCTGGTGATGTTGTGTTCATTCAGGCTGATTATTATTTCAGGTGTTGTGACTGCTGTTGTTTTTTTCACTGGTTGCTGACAGCAGTTGTTTTCCGCATTTATAAATCTGGGTCGGACACATTATTCCGCGTGTGGAGCGCTGGACGTTTGCCAGCCGTCTGTGCAGATTATGTTCATGAGCGCTGACTGGATGTGCTCAGGCGGGACTTTAGCTTCAGGTGCCGTCGCTTCAGACTGTGAGAATCTCACCGACGTTAGAAAGCTGCTTCTGACTGTTTCCACTGAGATGAACCACTGGCTGCTGGACTGTAACTCCGTAATCCCACAATGCCATGCGTTAGCAGCGTTTTCTCTTGATTTCATGGAATAGTTCACCCCAAAATGGAAATTAGCTGAAAATGTGCTCACTATCAGTTCATCAGAGATCAGGATGAGTTTGTTTCTTCATCAGGTTTGTAGAAATGTAGCATTGCATCAGTGTCTCACTGCAAGTGAATGGGTGCCGTCAGAATGAGAGTCCAAACAGCTGATAAAAACATCACAATAATCCACAGCACTCCAGTCCATCAGTTAACATCTGGAGAAGACAAAAGCTGAAACTAATCCAGCATTAAGACGTTTTTAACTCAAATACATTGAGTCTATAATCCATAATAACTCTTCCTCCAGTGAAAAAGTGCATCTGCTGTTGTCTCTCGCATCAAAATCCAGCCACATATTAGTTTAGAGCTGTTTAAACGCTGCTTGATCTGTGCAGATTTCTCTCCTGATTCACACCAGAACACTGACTCACTGGAGGAAGAGTTATTATGGATTATAGACTCTGTGTATTTGAGTTACAAACGTCTTAATGCTGGATTTGTTTCAGCTTTTGTCTTCTCCAGATGTTAAAGGGGTCATCCTATGCCCATTTGATATAAGTTGATATGATTCTTTAGGGTATTAATGAAAAGTCTATAACATACTTTGGTTAAAATTTCTCGATGGCAGTGTAAAAAACACCCTTTTTAACCCTGTCAAAATCAGCTCTGTTTCTAGTCCATGCTGCTTTAAATGCTAATGAGCTCTGCTGGCCCCGCCCCTCTGTTCTGTGGGTTGACGAGCAGACAGTAAACTTCAGCCGTGAAACTTGCTAATTAGCACATTATTAGGAAAGGCGATTTGCAAAGATTCATAAAAAACCCTTATACTCACTTCTTGTGTAGATGAAGCTGGATCACGAATGATTCACGCGAACATAGACGCATTTATGCAGATTCCTCTGGGGCATTCCTCTGTGTCTTCAGCGGCTCAGATGTCGGGAGTAAATGACTGCTATGTTCATTATTACATCCAACAACAGAACACCTCAATCTCTTAATCGGAGACGTTCTTGTCTTCCACCACACCGGAGTCGACACAATGGCGGACTGATGACAGCCACTCAGGGCGGAGCTAAGGTAAGACGGCCCTGTCAATCAACTACCGTGGGAGGGGCCTGTGCAGAACTACGTCATTCTGACAGGAACCTCAGAACAGCCTGATTTGAGAAAGGGGATTTAAAAAAAAAAAACTAAGTGGATTTTTATCATTATAGGATGGTAACTGCTATGTTCATTATTACATCCAACAACAGAACACCTCAATCTCTTAATCGGAGACGTTCTTGTCTTCCACCACACCGGAGTCGACACAATGGCGGACTGATGACAGCCACTCAGGGCGGAGCTAAGGTAAGACGGCCCTGTCAATCAACTACCGTGGGAGGGGCCTGTGCAGAACTACGTCATTCTGACAGGAACCTCAGAACAGCCTGATTTGAGAAAGGGGATTTAAAAAAAAACACTAAGTGGATTTTTATCATTATAGGATGGTAACACATTTATGTTCAAACAACAACAGAAGTGAATTTTGTATCTGATGACCCCTTTAACTGATGAACTGGAGTCTTGTAAAACTGAAGTGTACTGACTTTAACTCTCAGAGGATACTGTTCATGAGAGCTGCCGGTGATTGTAGTGTGTGGTGAGCAGCGTCCTCTGCTGGTGATGAACCGCTGATGCAGCGTAAACCCCATTCATGTCTTTGGCCTGAGAACAATAAATATAGATCATCGATGAATTGTCTATATTTGAACCTTTGTGTCTCTGTGCTCTGACAGCCGGTGAGGCGTCAGTCGCTGACCGCTCCGTCTCCGAACACTATCTCCTGGGAGGAGTACATCACCGCCGAGACGGGAAAGTACGTCAAACCTCCATCATATACTCAAACACACGGTGAGAGGAGCTGCTGGAGGCTCATGTCCTGTGTTTGCTCTCTTCTAGGGCTCCTCATCTGGGCCGAGAGCTGGTGTGCAAAGAGAGCAAGAAGAACTTCAAAGCAACTGTAGCCATGAGTCAGGACTTTCCTCTGAGCATCGAGTCGTAAGTGTCCCGCGCGGGCTCCGCAGACTCCTGGCGACGTCCATGTGGTGTTTGATGCTGATCACATCTCTTCTGACTTGTTTTACAGGCTGTTAAATGTTTTGGAGATCATCGCACCCTTCAAGCACTTTAATAAACTCAGAGAATTTGTTCAGATGAAACTTCCGCCTGGATTTCCTGTCAAACTAGGTAAACAGACACACTTTCAGCACGACCCATAAGACTTTGCTTCATCTTTGGAAAAAAATTTGATTTTTTTAATGAAACTTGAGAGGCTTCTATCCCTCTATTGAAAGAAGATCTGAAAATGTTATAAATGCCTCATAAAAGTGAATGATATGAGAGTGACTAAATGATCATTTTTGGGTGAATGATGCCTTTAATGTTAACTACTGTTAACTACCGTAACTACTGACTAGTAAAAGCAGTTTGTGTATTTTCTGCCGTTGTACGGCAAGTTGGAAACTTTATTAAAAAATGTATTTATTAATCTCAGCACTTAAACAATAGTAAATACATTAGTGAACATGAAATAACAATTATAATTATATTTTTACAGCATTTTAAATTTTTGTTAATGTTAATAAAAATAACTGTTCGAATAAACAAATAAACTGTAAACGAATACACAGTAAACGAATACACAGTAAACAAATACACAGTAAACAAATACACAGTAAACAAATACACAGTAAACAAATAAACTGTAAACGAATAAACTGTAAACAAATACACAGTAAACAAATAAACTGTAAACTAATAAACTGTAAACAAATACACAGTAAACAAATAAACTGTAAACAAATACACAGTAAACAAATACACAGTAAACAAATAAACTAAACTAATAAACTGTAAACTAATAAACTGTAAACAAATAAACTGTAAACTAATACACTGTAAATGAATAAACTGTCAAAATACACTGTAAACTAATAACCTGTAAAACTATGTAATTAAAATGTAATTAATATTAACAAAAGAACTCTTAATGTAAATCTCCGCTTGATCGTTGTGATGCACAAATAACTAGAATGGCAGTTTGATTCGTTTTATTGTAGGTGATGTTGCCTGAAGCGCTCGTTTTGCTCTTCAAGATTTTGTAAAATACTGTGAAGATGATTTAATGCAGTGAGGACACATTTGGCCAAAAAGCCGAATATGTGTTCATGTGGAGACTGAATAGTTGTCCTATGATTGGAGTGTGGTGTGTTCTCTTCCAGACATCCCCGTTTTCCCCACCATCACTGCCACCGTCACCTTTCAGGAGTTCCGCTACGACCAGTTCCACGACTCCATTTTTACAATTCCCAACGACTACAAGGAGGATCCCAGCCGCTTCCCAGACCTCTGAGCCGCTCGGCGTCTCCCTCTCCTCCCGGCCACACCAGCAGATGGAGAGGTGTAGGAAACACTCGATCATGTGGACACAGAGGGATCGTGCTGAAGTGAGTGAACCACTACATGATGAAGCTCTGGACTGAGCTCTCGCCAGAGACACGGAGCGCCGCTTCACATCTCCTCTGTAACGGGCAGGAATACGGCATTATAAATTATTACACAAGCCACGTTTTCATCTATATCTTTATTACAAACTTACTTCACTTAAAGGAAACGTGCATATTTAGGAAAGAAGTGGATGGCGATTGTATAGGATTGGAAAGCAATGTATATGTCATTTCTACACTTTCTTTGTGTAAATACCACTTCCTTCTCCAGTTCTTCTGCTTGTTGCATTATGGGAAACGGGCTTGTTCACTATCCTTCACTGTGCTTTTGCTTTCTCGCATCCTAGCGTTCACGGACCGGATGCAAATGTAGAAGTGTTTCACTTTATTTTCACCTTGATAGATGGATGTAAATACATTCGGATTTAAAGATGTTTTCCAGTGTAGGATAACTGACATGCATTATTGAGATATTAGTGTAAAATGTTACGGCGGCGAGTGTTTTATATGTGTGTTTGCACCAGCAATACCCCCCATTGGACAGTTTCCACTTTAATGTCTTTTATGTTTAGTTTTTCCTTCTCCGAAACGAGCTGCAACGCTTCCACGACCCACTACTGGCTAGTGTGGAAACTCGCTGTATTCCTTTTTTATTTTTGTTACCGGCTTCTTCTCCCTGTGTTTAATGACGTTAGATACTCTTCAGATTTGCTCCCAGATGCATTGAGCTCCCGGATGTTCAGCAGGAACCTTGTATGAACCTGCTGCACTTTTACATGACAAATTCTAATTAATAAAATGTCCACGTATCAGTCTCTTGTGGGGATTTGTTTTGGTCCGATGGTCTTTATTAGCATGCATGATATTCTAAAGGGGTGATGGATCACTTCCAGAATAAAAATCTGATGGTTTACTCGCCTCCATGTCATCCGAGATGTTCACAGAAATGAAGGTTTGTGAGGAAAGCGTTCCAGGATTTTTCTCCATATAATGGACTTCAATGGAGAGCAACTGAAGATCAAACCGGTTTCAGAGCCGAGCTCTACAGGATCCCAGCCGAGGAATAAGAGGCTCGTCTAGAGACAGTCTTCTAGATTTTTATTCTGGAAGTGAACTACTCGTAGGGGAAAACAAACCATTCGAAGTAACGTGCGGGGGCCTTGTTAAGTATAGGAGGCTAACCATGTTTTTTTTGGCGCTTTTATTACCAATTGTAGCCTATAACCACAGGTTTACTACAAATACCATGGTTAAACTATGGTTAGTGTAGCAAAACATGTTGTTTTGACCATGGTTTAACTACTACCAACCAATGCTTTTTGGTATTTTATATACATATTTGCATGCTATCTTTTTATTTTACGGCATGTTTTTGTGAAAATTATTTGGCAGTCGCTGCGCACTTCAAGGCGCTTTGGTGGACCTTAATGTTACCCGTTTAGTCAATGTTAAAAATCTCTTTAATATATCAATAAGAAAGTACGGCAGGCTTTTACTCAAGTCTTTATCACTTTATTAAAATGAAGCAAAACGAAAGGACAACCGTTTACTTTCACAAGCCGTCTGGTATAGGCTTGTAGTAGCCGAAGCCATCTCTTGCTCAATTAGGTAACAAACGATGTTGGGAAAGGACGCCTCTGGCCAGTCCGTTGGGTCGTTTGTCCAGTCACAGATACCGTACGGACAGTCCGACCCAATACGGCTCAGTTTTCATGCGTTTGTTGCTCTGTCGAGCGGCAGAAATGATTGTATGTAGGCCATTCTGAGTTAACACCATGCTTTTCCAATGAGGCGGAAAGTCTGTTTTCCACCACACTGCTGTGACGCACACCAATCAAGTCTACTATATGTGGAGATTTTAAGTATTTAAAAGTAAACATTTCCGTTTTAAAAATCGACTGGTTTGTCAGCTTTGATTTTCTCAGTGTCCTGAGCAGTGTTGGGGGTAACGCATTACAAGTTACGTAATCAGATTACTTTTTTCAAGTAACTAGTAAAGTAACGCATTACTTTGTAATTCACAAGAGAATATCGGAGTTACTTTTTCAAATAAGTAACGCAAGTTACTTTTGTTTCCAATTTATTGATTGACAGCTCTGGTGTTGCCATGGTGACAGAAATCAGATGTTACTGTAGAGCTAAAATAAATATGAATATGCGTTAATTCATCTCACTCACACACAAAAAACAACACAGATTCAGTATTCCTCAAAATGAATAAAATAATGCAACTCAGAATATGACGCAAACCATCTGTGTGTGTGTGTTTATTGCTGAAGTGTTGAAATGTCTTCTTCTGCATTCTACTGTACTTTCCCTTCAGCCTGAGGCGCATTCATTTCAATTTCGGTGTGAAAGGCTTTTATATTTGCCAGAAATATAACTTTTTTTATTTTAAAAACTAACAAGCAAGCCCTGTCCAGATTTTAAAAGTAGCGCAAAAGTAACGTAACGCATTACTTTCCATAAAAAGTAACTAACGTAATAAGTAACTTTTTTATGGAGTAACGCAACATTGTAACGCATTACTTTTAAAAGTAACTTTCCCCAACACTGATCATAACTGTTAAATTCTACAAACCGATATCAGAAAAGCAGTTAGCAGGAATTAAAATAAATAAGAATGATGAATGTGCTCGAGGCCATACTTTTCTTATTTCGCGGCTTTCTGGAATACTTGATTCTGATTGGTCAGTCGCGGAGTTAAGCGGGAAAATATTTTCAAATATTCACGCCGTCTGCACTTCAAACCGCCTCACACCAACCGTCGCCTCAGAGGATTGAGTATTAATATTTAGTATTTTAGCAGTGCCGATTGTATTGTATATTGTGTCCAGCGACTACTAAATTGTCTCTAGCAATCATTTCAAATAAGATCAAACAATTAAATACGTGTATGTAAGCACTGTTGTTGTAATTTCGACGCATAGATATTACCTCAGAAGTTAAAGAAATACGCTAGAAGCTTAAACAGTTCAGAAGTTTCAAAAATTCATTTTTATATATTTTTTCAAATCTAGATTTGTGTTGGATGTTCTCTTTGGAATGTGAAATATGGCTGTTTTATTTGTAAACATCACTCTTCTTTGGCTTATTTCAGTTAATGTGATTAATCTCTGGAGCTGACGGTGTCGTGTAAACATGACTGAAGACCAGATCAGACGAACCGATTCAATCGAGTGAGTCATTTACACTGGAACCGCTCCGAATGATTCGAACTCGTGACTCGATCATTCGGTTCACTAGCAAAAAAACTGTTCAAAAGAGCCATTCATTTTTGAATTTCGACATCGCTTGTAATAAAACTCAGAATCAGTTAAACCATTGCGCCGCTAAATGATTCACTGTTTCGAAGCGCTGCAATCGGTTCGCGAATCGTTTGATTCAGATCGGGGCTTCGGAGCGCGAATCTTTGTTCTGATTTCGTTTTTATTAAACAGTAGAAAACATCTAACCATTAAGACAGTACAGTAACAAGAAATTATCTTTTTATTATAGTAAAAGTGTAGCAACCGCGTTTTTTTGTGTCTCTATGAATAAATCCAACTAACTACATAAATGCAACATCTACAAAAAACAGATAAAAAAAAACATTTAAATGCATAGCTCTGCTGTCGAGTTAATGTAAAGAATTAGCATTTCCGCATTCGAATTACGCCCCGTTCACACCAAGGACAATAACTAGCTATTTCGATAAAGATATCGTTTTTAAAATCATAAATGTAAAAGAATAGTAAAGTCCAAACCACAGGAGAACGAGATCATTAAAATCACTTCTTACAGCCGATGAACGATAAAAACAGACAGCCAATCAGAATCCATCCTCGAGCATTTAACACAACAAACGACGTTATAATAAACGTTATCATGCGTTGGTGTGGACGCTTACATAGTTATCGCCGACAGACAGTGTGAACGAATCTTTAATCTTGTGTAGTTTAATATGTGCAAACAGCCTTGCCTCAATTTCACGCGCGCAAAAAAGCTGGCTTAAGAATTGATGCGGTTTCGAATATTTGCATCCAATTACCGCAAAAATTTAATTAAATGATCCAAATAGATTTTTTGCTCTACAACCTGAAAACCGACATTGGATAAATGTGAGTTAGTGCTTCACAACCCTCCTTGGTTCTGAAGGAACAAATAGACTAGAATTTTATATGAAGTTTTATTTTCAATTCGTAACATTGCAAACAGTACAGTGCAATCTACAGAAAAACACACTGTGGTAGATACAGCTGGACTGTCGAATGACCTGCGAGAGAAAGTTATCCAGTTCATGCGGAGCTCCACAAACGAGTTTAAAATGACAAACTAACTCAGGCTAACTATAAAAAACAAATGTAATTTCATTAAAAGAAAACAAAAAGCACGGCTTGACAATGTTATCCAAGCACTTTTAATCAGAGGGTGATTGCTTTAAATAGAAACTGCTAACAGACAGTGAATGGGTGTATTTTTCAACGGTCTACACTAAATGTACAGTATAACATCGTTCCACATCAGCCACGAGAGAAGAAACCGCTCTAAAACCGGAGAACTTCTTAAGACGAGCGTGTACCAGTAAATACAGCAGATTCTGAGGATGCGGTTTTAAAACTCGAAGGAATGAAGGAGTTTCAGACTGATCTAGAGCGGCGTCTGAACTCTACTGAACAATACACTCAAACACTGATCCGTGGGCTGCTTCAGTCGCTCATGTCCATGTCTTCGTCTTGCTGGTCTTCACTGTTTCCGTCCGACTCTCCGCGGCCCGCGTCGTCTGCGCTGTCTGCTAGCGGCTCTTTAGCCTGCGGCGACGAGGCGGCGTCCGAGTTCCTCTCGTGCTCTTCCTCGTGCTCGCTGTCGTAGCCCTGCTCCTCTTCATCGTAGTCCCTGGTCACCTGCGGAACAGAACCACAGAACTCAGAAGCCGGACTAGCACGTAAAGCGCAGCTGTTGACTGGTTAGACAGCGGTACCTTCACATCTCCCTTCTCGCTGTCGGACTTCCGGTCTCGGTCCTTGTCCTTGTCCTTGTCTTTGTCCTTGTCTTTGTCTTTGCTCTTCTTGCTGGCGGAACGTTCACTTTTGTCCCGAGTTCTCTCCCAGTCATCCTTCCTGTCTCGGTCGCGGTCTCTCTCGCGGTCTTTATCCTTCTTTTTCTCGGAGACGGCGAGCGGGACAGTTTCTTCTTGGGAGATCGTGGCTTCTTCGGTGATCGAGACGCGCTGCGACTTCTCTTGTGCCGTTTGCTGGAGGAAGAGACGCTCGCTTTCATCTGATCTAAACCACGGTAATCTACTTCCACATTTACTCATTGTGCTTTTAAAGATGCACTTGTGAAAACCCAAGGTTGGAATGACAAACTGACAGGGCCAGAGTCCAATTTTAGATTAATAAATCAAAAGTAGGGCTGTACAATTAATATTCTGCTGAAATATTAAGTCTGAAACTCAAAGGTCGTCTTAAATATTAGAATCGTTAAATGTTTATTTGATTACATTAAGATTAAATTCTATTAAATCATAAATCTAGAAATTAAAACAGAATTTCTGAAAGATAAAATATTTCATAGTGCCCTAATAGTGTAAAAATTAACTTGTTATTAAATAGTTAAAGATGTGGATTTAATTAAACCATTAAAATGCAAACCAAGAGGGAATTTTTTTTTTTTACCGAAATCACAGAATTTAGGAAAATATAAAAAGTATTTCATAAAGCCCTAAAAAATTTATTTTTGTTAAACTTTGTAAAATGTTGTTAATTTATTAATTTATAATTTTATGCCATATTAGCATCAAAGGCTATATTAATGGAAAACTCAAAAGTAACAATTTAAAACTGTCTTAACAATAATAACTC